CCCCAAAACCCCAAAACCCCTTTAGAAGTTGTTCACAGAGCATTGAATTATGATGAAATGAAAATTAATTTCATAGATATAATCTAATATTTTATCCTCTTGACTTTACTTCTCTATCATAAATCTTAGATATCTTTTCGAACCTCTTTCCTGGATTTGCAGACACAACTAATTTTTTCCTTTCAGGAGATTGAGATACATCTATTTTATTTGAAGGATCATCTTACTCTTAATGAACACTGTTTCTTCCATTATCGTTTTAGAATTCGAGATTAGAAATATCAGAATTAATAGCTTTTAAAGTGCTGGTCTGATTTGTTTTGTTGATCCTCATATTAAAACTTTTATACTATTGATCTAAAAGCACTTGTGACTGTGTGTTTAACTAAGTTGAATGATTTGCCTGAGAATTAATTAGATTTCTGTCCTTGATAATCTTAAAGTTAAAAGGTCTGGCGTGAGACTTATTGTTGAACCATTATGACTAATTTTTATTGCCAGTTGATATATTTCTAGTGTTACTTTGACTATTACTTTGATTCGGTACATTGGTTGTGCCTTAGCTTTGAGCTGTTAATGGTGTATGTAAAGTATTTAAGCTTACTGCGTTACTTAAACCCCTTTTATGCTCATGGATAACATTCATTGGTACTTAAAGGTTTGGAAACTTGAATGTATCCATGCTCTGGATATTTATTACCTAACTCATTCCCCTTGCAATTGAGAAACGAGACTTTAGAGTTTAAATTCTTTACTTTCTCCTCTCTTCTTCACTCTTTGTCTCAAAATTATCACTTTGTGAGTCATCAGTAACACTTTAAGGGGTTTCTTCTTTTCTCCTCCCCAGAGCTTACTAAGTATTTGATCTTATACTTGCTCTTTTACCACTATTGGTTCGAAACTTTGATACACCAACTGCATTAGAAAAATTAAGATTTTGGGAACCTTAGAAAGTTGCCTTTCTAGTATCCACAATAACAGTCTCTTGCCTCTTAGCTTCGTGCTTTGGTGATTAGCTCATACTAGTTTGAGACCATTTCTTAGGTAATGGAATATATCCGCTAGCTGTGCTAATCTTTTTTGCAGCTTCATCAAACTCATTTACCATCTTGTTAATGAATCTTGTTTCAGATTTCTAGTAATTGCTGATTGTTTTAAAAACTTGAGTATACTAGACATTAGTCTGATGAGAGCTAACTTTATCTGGATTGAGACCTCTTTTATGAAGACCATTAAAGAATCGTATTTTTTTTCTTTCCTTTATAGTATATTTACTTTTTTTCTTTCTTTTACCATAGAGCTTTTCTTTTAATCTTTTTTCAAACTCATTTTTCTCTTTTTCATATTAATGATTTAAGAAGGAGTTTTCATTGTATTCTTAATTTTCTCCCAATTCAGAGATTGTCTAAGCCTTAGTGAGTTTTGCTTTTTTGAAATTTCTAGTTTCAAAATTAAGCTTTTAATAGCATTCATCATAGTGCTTATTGAATTTTCTTTAAGAAATTTCATATTCTTCAAGCTCAAGATTATCACAGCTCAGCAAATCGAGTAAATCACATCTATTAAAGTCAATCTAAAAGACAAGCATTTTAAGATGAAGAGTTTATTTGCATGATTCTACCAATTTCCTGATAGCCTTTTATAGAGTTAGTTTCAGAGTATTCGCTGTGTCTAATGGTTAGTCAAGCATTTTCTACTGCTCCTCAATTTTCCTCCATAACTCCTAAAGTTCTGCCTTTTTAGGGTTTGTCTTTTTTATAAACAGCTGACTCTAATCTGAATCAGGATCTTGCTATTTACTTTGCTTTAGATTCATTTGGTTTTCAAGTTGCTTAGTCTTTTTTAAAACTTTCAGTTCGTTAGCACTCTTTTACAAATGCTTTATCTCATCTTATGCTCTCTTGGCAAATGAATCTTCATTATCTGAGTCATCCTCAAGTTTTTTAATAGTAGATGCATCATCATCAGATTAATCAGATTTTTTCCTTGCACTTTATGGTGCAATATTTATTTCAAGTTTAATATTTGAGGCTTTCTAAATATGAATAGGGGGTGATGAAGCTGTCTTCTTTTTACTTATCTTTTAGTATGTCCCTAAAATCTAAAGTAGCTATTAAGGAAAATGATCACTTATCAAGTTATAAGGTAAATATTCTCTTATCTTAAGTAGTTTTGCTGAGAACTTTAGAACCATATCACTGAGTTTCAAATTTAGATTCTTTACAAACTGCCGATAATCTTCAATTTTGCTTTATTTTGACTCAATCATAGATTATAATGTTGCTAATTACTGCTTTGTATAGAGCTTTTGGTAATAGATATACTAAGTATCATCAGATTCTTAGATCATTTTAGTTAGTTTTGGTGTTAATACAATATTTTAGCTATCATTGCTGTTATTCTGTTTTCTAGAAAGTTCAAATCTGGCATAGTCTAGCTAGGTATTAAGTGATTCGATGTATTGTTTCCTTTTTGACAATTCAATTGTTATCTCTTTGCTTTTTAGTTGAAGTGATTAGTTATAGACTGTTTTTTCTTCAATAAATTCTGATAGTTTTTGAAGATTTTCCCCATTAAAATTTTCAAACTCTTATAGCACGTTAAACTTTTATTGCACAAGAATGCTGATTTCTGGCGTCATATCATCAAATGAATAGAACTTTGAGTAGTTGGTCTTCTCCGATTAGTGAGAGTCAAAAGACATCTTAAGTTCAAAGAGTTCTAAATTTTAGTCTGAAGCCTCAATTTTGCCTTAGTGATCCTTGTAATACCTCAGTAAAGCAGCTAACAATAAGGCATCAATCAGTTTCAAGAGCTCTGAAACTCTTATTTTATACAAATCCTATTTCATTTAGTCAATATTTATCTCTCTATTTCTCCTCTTAAGTTCCTCAAGCAATTTCTTCGCTTCTTAGTATTTGTTAGATTTTTATGTTACCATAAATTTCATAGCTTTCACCTCGTTTTCATGGTGCTACTATTCTTATTATTTGATTTTAATTTTTTCTCTATTCTTAATTTTGATATCTAGCAAATTCTCTTTGCATCTTTAAAATCCTGAAACAGATGTAATCATTGAAGTCTGGCTTAAGAAAAAAGCTTGCTTCATACTATCAGTCATGTTTATAATCTTTCTGAATTCAGGTACTGTATGCTAGTATTTTTAATAGTCAAAGAGTTTTTATTTCTTCAATCTTTGACCTACTAATTCCAATTTTAAAGACTCAGCAGTTTCTTCGATATCAAAATCTCTTATTTAATCAAGTTTGACTTTCAGAAACTCAAGTTTTTCTTCTAGTTATTCCATAGATTAGGAGTTTAGATAATTGTCATAACCTTTGTGAATAGAATTCTCAACTAGTCTTCCATTAATAGATCTCATCGACTAGGATGAGTATAATCGTGAATGCTAAAAATCCAAATATCTCGAGGACTAAAGTTAACTGATATTTAAGGGAGCAGCCTTTTACTTCATTATCAATTCGTATTCTTTTTGAAACTTTTCTAACATCATTTATTTTGAATTTAGTTCGAATTCTACCTTTCCAAGTTGACTTTTCAACTACATAAGAATATTTAACGCAAAATTTTCATTAATTAAGTTACCAGCTGATCTTTGGTTGTAGTTAAGTCTTTGAGAATCAAATTGCTTTGACTTGCTCCTCTTTAGCTAGATTTTTATTGCATCTTATTCGAGTTTTCGCCATTTTTTGGTAATTAAGTGAAGAATCTAGAGAAATTTGATGTTGTTGAAAATTTGGTCCCATTATCTAATTTTCTTTAAGATCCAAATTTTACAAGCCTGTTTTGATTTCTAGACTCTATATCAAAGATAATTAGTCAAAAATATAAATACCTGACTCCTAGGTCATCAAACTTTGTCTCCTTGGGGACATAGCACCAGTTGTGCTCATATCCTTTTGTTAGACATTTAGATTACTCATATTTTATGTAAAATCCAACTTAGGGTTCTAATCAGTCATTTTAAGCTATAATTTATGAATTATTGTATTAATCTATATGAATTTAAATTTCATGAAATTTTAAGATTGATTATTGCGTGTGGGGTTTTGGGGTTTTGGGG